TAAAGTAAAAAAATATAAAAAAAATACATGGTTAATCTTTAATGTCTTGCCGATGTCACAGTATTTTTTTGGTATTTTTTAAAAATTTTTTTGACGGTCAAAAGAGCCGTAAAAAAACGTAAGGAAAAAAAGTAGAAAGAGAGAGTAGAGAGAGATAGTAAAGGGCAAAAACGTAATTGGAGGGGGGCGGTGACTAGTAAAAGGGGGGCGGTAAATAGCAATCCACTAAAAAAATGGAAAGTGACCATATTTTCTTAAACTCGAGTTGTTGGATTGGAAGGAAGCCCATAACGTGAAGCAGCCCACCAAGGCACCAAAATCCCAAACTTTTGCAAACAATTTGAACTTTTTTGTGGAGCTGAAGCAGCTGCCGCTCGTCTTCTCCAGGTTACCTCAGCAAACACTTGGTATTCTGGTTTGATTAAAAGCAAGAAGTTATATGCTTTCTAACGCTATTATTGGTTAAATGAAAAAAAAAAAAATTCTCGCTCTTTGTTTTTATAATAAATATTCCTTCATTTTTTAAAATTCGCCTTTTTTTTTTTTTTTTTTTTGCGCCTGGAGAGAAATTGTTTCATGGAATGAAAATTTAACTTATATTGTTTATCTGTGTATTTTTGTCTGGAAACTATAGATATTTTTGCTGATTCCAACCTCTCGTGGTTGCTGTGATTGGATGCTCTCCAACTGTTTGATGAATTACCTAGAGTACTTCTCTTTTAGCTGTACCTCTCGATATGTAGTAGTTTCCATGTTGTGAGTTGTCTTTATCGGGCGTGCATGAATTCACAGTTATATGACATGCATTGAACATGTTCGATGGTCTTGTTCAATTATCAATGAGAAGCTAGAGGTCGAAAAGATGCGGCATTCTTTGCTTGTTTACAAATACTTCCGCTCAAAATGAGTTTTTTCGACTAACCAGAGTTAATTTTGAAGAAGTTGGATGGTTTTTTGTTAGTGGAATTTTGTTTTTATATGAAACTAATATTTAAAACAAAATAATTGAAGTTGATTTATTGTAAAAGTAGGAGAGAAATGATGTGAAGTGATAGTTAAAATTATTTGAGTGGATCAATAGTGAAGTAAGGTTGATATGATGTGTAAAAATGATTAGTTTTTATTATTTAATTATATTGATAATATTGATGATAGTGGGATTGGTGGGTAAACTATGGAGATAAACTAGTTGATTGTATAATGCCAAGAAAGACAGACATCTCCTCTGTAAGAGCGTGCTTTCCTCCCTGTGTTCATTTCGCTTTTGGTACATGAATGCTGAATATTGATTCACAATGTTCCAAAATGACATAATAAGGAAATCCATTATTTTGTGTATCAGGTGAAAATGATTATTAAGCCCCACAGGGGGGAAAGGGGGGGAGTTTCCAACCAGAAATGAATGTCTCGAAGCACATAATTGATGGATCTCTTCCCCCAGAATGAGGAGTCATTTCATAATTATCTCGGCTTACTTCCATCAATTAATAAACTGTAGTTTACGCTCTGTTTCAAGCAGAGGACGTTTTTCGCTAGTACGAACATATTCTTCAGTTGGGTCAATGGGTCGAAGATCTTTTCCTGATTATTCTCCAAAAAAACCTAACATAAAGGACTCCGAATTCGTCCACCGTATCTCAACTGTCATCAAGCAACGATGCTATGAGCCCTTTCGACGGATTCTGAAGCCCTTCGAGTCCAAGTTCAGACCTGACCATCTCATTTGGGTTCTCATGGAGATAAAAAATGATTACTGCCTTGTCGTCAACTTATTTGAATGGTCGTCCATTAGAAGGAACCTGTCGCTTGAGGCACGCTGTATCTTTATTCAAATTGCTGCAGCCGCAAAAGACTTAAAGACAGCTCATATGCTTTTTAGTGAATTCTGGTCAAATCCCGGTATTCGTGGAAGTACCTCGCCCTCCCAATTTCTTGAAAAATTAATATACACTTACAAGGATTGGGGCTCAAATCCCTATGTGTTTGACATTTTCTTCCAGGCCCTTGTGGAAAATGGACACCTTGATGACGCGAGAAAACTCTTTGATAAGATGTTACATTATGGTGTTATTCTCTCTCTCGATTCATGTAATGTGTTTCTTTCTAGGATCTCAAAAGATACTGATGGACCTAAAATATCACTGAAGGTTTTTCACGAATTTTCTGAAGTGGGTATTCACTGGAATACCATATCATATAATATAGCTCTAAACTCACTTTGTCAATTAGGCAACATCAGAGAAGCTCACAGCCTACTTTTGCAAATGGAGTTAAGGGGTTGCCATCCGGATGCCGTGAGTTACAGCACAGTAATCAATGGATATTGCAATCGGGGAGAACTTCATTTGGTGGTTAAAATTGTTGAGAATATGAAGCAGAGAGGTTTGAGCCCAAATGCATTTACTTTTAACAGCATAATCCTTCTTCTGTGCAAGGCTGGTAAACTGGCTGATGCTGAGAAGGTTTTGAGAGAGATGATATCTCAGGGAATCTTTCCTGATAATGCAGTCTACACAACTCTCATCGATGGCTTCAGCAAAATGGGAAATATTTCATCTGTATACAGAATGTACGATGAAATGCAGAAGCAGAACATTATTCCTGACTTGATCACATACACTGCTCTAGTTTGTGCCTTTTGCCAGAATGGGAGAGTAGCTGAAGCAGATAAGCTCTTTCATGAAATGCTTGATATTGGGTTAAAAGCGGATGAGTTTATTTATACAACGCTTATTGATGGCTACTGCAAGGCAGGTGAAATGAAAAAGGCATTCTCTCTTCACACAGACATGATACGGATGAGATTGATTCCTAATGTGGTCACTTACACTGCTCTGGTTGATGGGCTCTGTAAACAAGGTGAGGTTGATACAGCAATTGAGCTTCTTTACGAGATGTGTGATAAGGGGCTTGTTCTGAATGTCTACACGTGCAATGCACTTCTTAACGGTCTCTGTAAAACTGGGAATATGGTGAAAGCTGTGAAATTGATGAATGATATGGAAGTAGCCGGGATAAAACCTGATGCTTTTACCTATACTACTCTAATGGATGCCTATAGCAAATCAGGGCAAATGGTTATGGCCCACCAGTTGCTTCATGAGATGTTACAGAAGGGGATCAAACCGACAGTTGTCACATTTAATGTTCTAATGAATGGGTTCTGTATGTTGGGAATGTTAGAAGATGGTAAGAAACTTCTAGACTGGATGTTGGAGAAGGATATAATGCCTAATGCCATCACTTACAATTCTATTATTAAACAACATTGTATTAGAAATGATATGCGGGGGGCCACTGATGTGTACCGTGATATGTTTCATAACGGAGTGGCACCGAATGAAAATACGTATAATATATTAATACGAGGGCATTGCAAGGCAAGGAATATGAAGGAAGCATGGTATTTGCATAAGGAAATGGTCCAGAAGGGATTTAATGTTACAGCCGAGACCTATAATGCACTTATTAAGGGATTCATAAAAAGGAAGAAGTATATGGAGGCCAGGGTGCTTTTTGAAGAGATGAGAAACAAAGACTTGTCTGCAGAAAAGGAAATATATTGCACCTTTGCAGAGATTAATTATGAGGAGGGGAACATTGATTCGACTTTGGGGCTTTGTGATGAAGCAGTGGAAAAATGTCTTGTTAATAGTAGCAAAGATGGAAAGACATAACTGCAATTGTTTGCATTTGATCTTTCTGGAGCTCATCTTGGCGTTACATTTCTGGGGAGTGATCACCAGAGAACTTTGGTAAGTATTGCCTTTTCTGCTATTTTGTTTTCTTGTTAAAACTACTAATCAATTTCCATATTGCCGCATATTATGCCACACCTAGTTTCAATGCCTGGTTAGCGTAATAATGGAACCCTTGAGTTGAAATAGCTTGCTTGAAACCGTAAAATTTAATTGGTTTATATGTTCCAATATTGACCCAAGCAAAAATTATAGCATCCGTTATGCTTTATCAGTGTTTCTTCTCTCTCTCTCTCTCTCTCTCTCTCTCTCTCTCTCTCTCTCTCAAATCTTTAAACTTGTTTCTGCTGTCCAGGACTGCTTGAATTCGAAGGCCGCTGTCATGACCATGTCTAGATTGAAGTTTTTCACTCATCCATATTCTACCAGGTACGTATGCTAAATCATTTGCTAGAGTTTGCTGTGCCATCCCTTTTGCATGCCTCACCTTTTTCTATGCAATGCAGGAAGTTGGTGGAATCCCTTGTACTCTGGTCAGGCAGAGAGAGAGTACATATAAGAATATTGGAAATCACAGAGTACTGTCTTGATATCTGGATGGCAGTATAATCTATAATTTGATTTGCAATGAGCCTCAATGGTCCAACAAGCAGTAAACGGCAATGAGTAAGAGTGTGAGTGTTATAATTTGTTGATCTTGCACAGTATGTGAAGAATAAAAAATATGGTTTGTGAATTATCCGGACATTATTAATAGAACCTTTTCTTCCAAAGGAAATCTTCATTAACAAAACGTTGCTTCGTCCGAAGTGGAAGTGTTTTAATGCACAGAGGATACTAAAGAGATTCTTCAGTCTTCACTAATGCTTCAGCAGAAATTTGTGCGATTTGTGAAAGAGTTCAAATGCATGAATTTTGACGGAGATGGCAATGTTAGTCGGCCCTTAGGATGTAACTGAGCAGAATTATCATCCGAATGTGGTAGCGTATTTGTTCTATAGGTCTTTCACACATGCAAGCATCTTCTTAGAACAATCGGAGTGAAAATGTTCTTAATGCATTCTTGTGCTGGGATGGAGCTTGCTGGGCGATTTGTCATATTGCTTGGACAGAGCCTTGGATGGTTTTAAGTTCAAAAATAGGATTGCTTCCGAATCTTGGGTTCACGTGATTCCTGTTAGTAGTGATGATTTGCAACACAACATACTGTAAGCAGGTTAGAGGTTGGTCATGATATATTAGTCATGATTAGGTTGATACAGTGAGACATAATATAACAAATTGGACGCATTTCGCAAATGCTGCGCAATAATTGTATTACTTCAAGCTTTTTATACTTGTATTGATCGAGTGTGTAACTGTGTTGTTAGCAGCAGTGATTGCTTGCTAGAAAATTGACTGTTACAAGCAACCACAGTACCCAACCATTTATGTCGATGATGGTATATTTTGGCCACAAATAAATGATTATTCTTTTGGTTCTCACTGCTTTGAGATATTTTCATTACTTCTCTCCCCCACCCTCTTTTCTATGAAAAAAAAAAAAGAAAGTAAAATTTAGTTGCAGATAGATTGCAAGATTAGTTACAGATGAAATGGTCTTATAAACCTTGCTAGTGCAGGTTCATGTTCCATTACTATCTTCCCTATTTCCGTAGATAAAAAAAGAAAAGAAAAGAAGGCTACATCTTACAACAAGACTCCCAGAAAAAGCAGTAGTATGCATACAAAAACAAAACCCACCACCGGTGGATGTGGATGTACACATTGGCCACGAGAAGGAGCAGCCCTGGGAGAATTTACGGATGCCTTGACTTCCTTGGAGCATTCGTAGTTGCATCTGCTCGGACGAACAACTCTGTACACGCCACTCTGTGTGAGGATGAAAACGTCTTTTCTATTGTCCTCTCCAAAGGAGAATATGTACTGTAATGCGGGAAGCCTGCTGTTGGGAACTGTGTCACATTGGATAGGAGAATCCGAGGCACAGCTGAAGGAGACATCTTTGGCCGTGAAGTTTCCGCTGTTTCCTGGGGTTTCTTGAGCTGCCCAGATATGGCTTGCGTACAGGTCCGCGTACAGATAGCTGATCGTAAGTAAGGTACGTACGTTAGTTGGATATGCACATGAGCAAGATTGTGTACAAAAGTGTGAGGGTTGATTGCTAGAAAATTATTACTGGGGTAGCTTTGGCATAACAGAAGTGAAGAAAGGATGAGTGCAGAAAAAACTACTATGATTTGGCCAAATTACAAAATATAAATAATTAAAATGAAAAGACTGCATATTTTGAAAATTAGAGAAATTACCCTTGATGTTGAACTGATCTTACATTCTGCATGTGCTCTCTGATGGAATTTACTAGCATTATCAAGTATTTTAACAGTGAAATCCTTCATCCCTTATGAAATATTACAAGTGAAACTCACACTTATATCTGTCATCTTTTCTATTATTACAAATTGCTAGATGGCAAAATGGGGCTATTTGAAATACTTATTAATTGTCTTGGTACATACATACGTATTTGGCGTGACCAAATTTTACCAGGTCAAACGTTTGATCAGAACACAAAGACGTAAGCTCGGTTTTGATAATTACCAGAGAATCTTCTATATATATAGAAAGGATCCAATTTGAGCAAGTTTCCAATTCAAAATTCAAAAGCAAAACTTAGGTGGTTTTTAAGGTAACTTTTGTGTAATTTTCCTAAAAGAATGCTCTACCATCAAAATTCCAGATACTCCATGACATTTGTGTTGTTTTTAACAAGAGATGCCTATAGCAGGAGGTATCTGTCCTATACACAAACCTCAGGGAGCAAATCCAACACTTTAAGGGAGTACTTGTAATTTAATTTTAAATCCTAGAGGTTGGTTTTCCCTATGATGCTAAGAAAAAAATTATTGATCCTTGTTTCCTTTACCTTCCATACGTGCATGGATCGGCCTGTGAACGATAGAAGTATCCGCCAGATATTGCCGCAGACCCTAGTTTGTTTATTTTGGAGTGGCTGTATCCCAACACTGGAAAAATCGGGTCGATGGAATTAGCAGACGTGTTGCCACCTGGACTACTTTGGGGATTAAAAGTCAGAGGGCCTTCATAAACGCGCCACCCATAGTTTCCCCCCTTGGATATGATATCGACTTCTTCATATTGATCCTGGTAATGCTCAAATCAAGCATATCAGGCATTCTTCAAACAGAAACAGATATGATGAGTAAAAGGCAGGATGCTGTTTGTAAATTTGGAAGGCAACTCTTTTTTTTTTTTTTGTTATTAAGCTTACTCAGGGGAAGCTTTTGTGATTTTAAATAGGGTTTGTAAATGACAGCATTTTACAAACCTGTCCAACATCAGCACACATGAAGTAAGAAGGCCTTTCCGAATCAAAGCTGCAACGCCAAGGGTTTCTCAGACCGTACGCCCAGATTTCCGGCTGCATCTCTTTATCTTCCGAAAAAGGGTTATCATGAGGCACCGAATAATTTCCCCATCGGCCAAGCTTGACTAGTTCCTCCTCACCTGAAGAACAAAGACCCCATAGTTTGTATAAACGACTGAAGGAAAATAAATCAGATTATCATTAGGACATACAAACATGGTCTGCAACATGGGTGAGATTACAACCAGCCGAAATGAAGTATATACTCTGAGTTTGTAGCTTGAATGAATACTCACTTGGTATATTGTTAACATCAAGCCGCATAATTTTTCCGAGTAGGGACTTTTTGTTCTGGGCGAAATTATAGGGGTCGCCTTTGCTCCCTCCATCTCCCATCATAAAGTAGAGGTATCCATCAGCTGGGCCGAAAAGGATTTGGCCACCGTGATCTGATGCGAAGGGCAACCCCAATGTGATAATTCTTCTTACTTCTTGTGGTCTTGCGGTCTCTGCCTGGTGGTCATAAGTAACAGAAACTCAGGTACATTCAGAAGTTGCAGGCAGTATTTCTTCGGGTAAACACAACACTTTCCACAGGGAAATTTGTTAATTCAAAAGAATAACCTGACTGACTCTTTTGCAGTTAAGCTAGACCCGAGGGGCACCTATTGCAATTACACCAAAGATTTTACCTCAGACGGGGTTGAATCAGTCCCATTGGCGCTGTACTCAGCTATAACCGACTGGTACCTGCAGACCTCACCAGCACCTGGAACTTGTATTGTTGAGGGATCACAGTTCACATCTGAGTTGCACGTGCACCTTCCCCCGCATGCAGGGGATTTCTCCCTATCACAGTTGAAGGATGCGAAAAAACGGCCGTTTACAGCAAAATCAGGATGGAACGCGAGCCCCATCATCCCGAAGCTCGTGTCCAGGTAAACCTGATCCGTGAGGTCCACAAATGGGCTGGACTCATCGAGCCCCATCACGTCCCCTGAGTCCTGCTCCGGAATGGTGGCCAGCCAGACCTTGCCGGCCAGATTCGAGAAGAAGGCCCGGCTCGAGCCGTCGGGATGCGGGGCCATGTTGATGTAGGAGCCGTTGCCGATTTTCTCGAGGCAGATGCCGTGGGGTGGTGGGGTGGTGTCGGAGGTGTTGAGGGAGAAGGGGTCTCCGTTGAAGCAGGGTGAGTTTGGGGTGCCAAAGGCGGTGCAGAAGTCGGACTCGGATTGCCAGAGGTCGATGAGTTTGGATATGGTGGAGTTGTGGGTGATTTGGGCCTTGCTTTGGAGAGAAGGGGCGAATGGGGAGTTTGAGATGGGGACGTTTTGGCAGGCATCCCACACGGAGGAGCAGAAGCTGGTGGTGGTTGAGGAGTTGCAGAGTATTGGGAGTGGCCGAGTGTTGGGGCCGGTGTCCAATAAAGTTGCCGAGAATGGGTCGCAAGTCTGCAAAGGAAAATACTCTCTTTGAGTAAACATGGAGTATGGTTTCTATATTTTCTCTTTCATTTCTTTTTCTGTGTTTTGTAAATTATATCACAAGTTTTAGTTTGTTGCAGACAGTCTGAAAACAGTCATAGAAAATCGGTGCAATTTAATCACGATCTTTTCACACTTGCAAATTATATCACAATTAGAATGGCCACGGGCGGTCCGGCCCGTGGCCCGACATGTGACCCGGTACCGGCTCAGCCCGGCCCGGTACCGGTACCGGCATGAATAGTGCCGGGTTCGAGAACCGGACCGCGGCCAATCCGGTCTGGTTAAGGGTCACGATTTTTTTTTTTTTGTCCCGGAGGGGTTGGGCCGGGCCGGGCCAATTTTTTTGCTTTTTTTTAAGGGCCGTACCGGCCCGTGAACCGCCGGGCCGGTGAACCGGCGGTTCGGGCCGGTTCTATGAGCCGGCCCTTCGTTCCTAGCGGGCCGGTCGCGGTTCGGCTGTTTGAGGGCCCGTGGACCGGTGGGCTGGGCCGGGCCGGGCCCGGACCCGGCACCTGGCCACGTCTAATCACAATCTTTAATTTGTTGCAAAAACAGTCATAGAAAAGTTGATGTGGTCGAACAACAAATTGAAGATTGTGATATAGTTTGCACGGGACGTGTAAATCGGTGCACTATTTTACAACAAAATGAAGATTGCGATATGATTTGCAAAAGTGGAAAAGTAGTGATGAAATTGCAATATCTAAAAAAAAGACACGATATTAAGGACAATTTTGCCTGAATATTATTGGTTTATGTACGCTCTGAAATAGAACCATTTTTTTGCATGGTGCCATGACACTCGTTTTTGGAATATAGAAATCAATGTCTGCGTTATATTTTCCGTAGAAATACACACGCTCGGAACTTTTCCAGTTCTATAAATAATTGATCAGTGATCAATTTTCATGAAACGGAGGGATAAAATAATAGTAATAGTAACCAGAAAAACCAAATAATATATGATATCACATCACTAATACCATATACTTACGGGACGGGAGATGATACAGTCCCGTTACGAAACCATTTCGCCGGGTTTGTAACCTTTAGATCAACTATTCCTGACGGTTACATGATGATCTAACGGTTACAAATCTCGACAGAACTATGGCTTATAATTTTATTTAATAATTTATAAAATTAAAAAATGATGGATTTAGAGAGTGATCACACACCGCACAGAGGATAGACTTGACAGCAGAAGCACAAGAGGGATCAGATATGTTCATAGCCTCAAAACGCTTCTTCAGCTTCCCATCTTGTGACCCACTGCAACACACTTCTCCACTGTAATTGCTGCAGAATCCCAAGCTCCCATTTATTCTGTAAGCTGCTCCTGCAAAATTATTCCACGATCGGTTTCAACAGATTGACTACTGATTATCTCCCAAGCTCCCATATATATAATTAGACAGGCAAAACACAAACTTACTCAAGTCAGTGCACATGGGAAATGAACAAGAATGGAAAAGGAACAACAGTTGAAGCAGGCAGTACAAGTAGAAAAACTTCATCTTTTTCTTTTTGTGCTTATAGTGTTCTGTTTCTCCAAAAAAGAAAAGACAATAATTACATGCAGAAGCCACTCATAAGAGGCCAAAAACCTTATCTATCTATATTCTACACTATCATCATATATATCCTATTTATATATCATATAAATACAATACCAAAGAACAGAGCTGGAATTACAATACTTTTATTAAAAATGTTTTTTTTTTATACATATATATTTATTGTCCCTTTCAGACTAGGAGAAAAAAAAAAAAAAAAACCCTTATTAGAATAATAATATACAACACAACAGTTGAATGCTTTGTCCCTCTGAAAGGCAATGATCATAAGTTGAATTAAAAGCCTGTTGAGTGTTTGATGTCTCAATGTTGACCTTTCAACACTTGGGTTTGACTTTTAATTTTTTTTTCTTTTTTATTTATTTTTATTTATATGTTTGTCTGGGTGGATAAAAAGTGGTTGGAAAGTGTGTGTGGTAGTGGTTGGAAAGCAAGCGAAATGGTACGATACCGTTACGGAAATATTCTGTCGAGATTCGTAACCGTTAAATTAACTATATATCTGACAATAATATGATAATTTAACGGTTATAAACTCTGATGTAATGATTCCTATTCAGGGACGGATGTACACTAGGCCTGGGCTGGGCTGAAGCCCAGGCCTTTTATTTATTTTTTACTACTACTAACTGTTTTTTTTAATCCTAGCCCAGCCCAACAAAAAAATAAATAAATAAACATTTAAGGCCCAAATATACTAACTTCCTAAATCCTCATATGTCCTGAGGCCCTGCTCGTTTATCAATTATCTTATTATCACCTCATCCTCATACTTCAAAAAAATTATTCTCTTTTTCGTTCTTCCCTCCTGTCCCGGCTGGCCGCTCTCTCTCAAGTCTCTATTGTTGGACTTGCAATTTCTACAGTGGACTGTGTTCACCTTCACTCACTACCAAAAAAAAAAAAGTTTTTACTTTACAAACCCTAGATGACTAGATTGTATATTGTGAAGAGAGCAATTTAACTATTGTGTGATACATCGATTATTGAGTTCTTGTTCTAGAAAGGAAAAGAGAAATTTGAAGCCTAATTGCTTGAGCCCTGAAACATTCATAATATTAGTATGCGATTTTTTTTTTTTAATTTTTTTTTTTCTGGATTTTGTGTAATTGAGAAGTGTTGAGATTTGGTATTTGCTTCAAATTTTGAGTACAAAGTGTACAAGTCAAATTAATTTACACTTGTGTGATTGTATAATACACTTGAACTGATTTAGTCAATAATTTACACTTGTGTGATTGTATAATACACTTGAACTAATTTAGTCAATTAATTCATTAAATGTTTACATAAGAAACCCAAGAAAAATAGTTTCGAATTCGTATTTCGCATGTTGAGAATCAGTGCCAACTTTTATAATAATGTATGATAAATGGATATAAAATTGTAAATCACTTGCTATTTTAAATTATGTATGGTTGAGTCTGTTATTATTTTGTAAAACTATTTTTGTTTTGGCGTTACCGGTTTCTACTGCTACAACCATACGAACTTTTTTCATCCATGAAGCATGTGAAGACAGTACTTCGTAACAAGATTGGGGATGATTTTTCAAAAATTGTTTGATTCTCTTCATCGAACTGAAGTTTACTAATAATATAAGTATATATTCTATTATTGATGTATTTTATTCTGTAAATGCTCGTTTGAGTAGAACTTCAGTAAATATTTGAAGAAAAAATATTATGTGATTTTATCAAAGTATTTAAAATTCTAGCCCAGTCTATTCTTAATTTCTGGATCCGTCCCTGTTCCTATCGGAACCTAGCATATCCTTTATTATGTTATACAATAAATGTGTGCTTAAAAAGCAAACAATAAAAGTTGGGTGAGCGTCGGTCTGGTGGCACTAAATGCTCCCAATCTGTCACTTATTGTTGGCCCTTCTTCACCGTTTGGTTTTTCATACTTTTGCTCCATACTATTCAAAAAGGTGTTAAAAAATAAAATAAAAACAATGCTCACAATTTCAATTTTCAGTACACGTTAGCGTCTAACAAGATTATTAAATAATTCTTTTTCATGTGACTATTGACAAAAAAAAAAAAAGATTTGATTGTTCTTATCCAATATTTGCACATATCTTTGACAAAAATTTCAACACAAAATTACTAAAAGTCTCTCATACTTGTATAATTTTCATATATCTTAAAGTTCAAAATAATATTGTCCATTGATTTAATTATCAATAACTGATGATTATTGATGCCGCTTAAGCTTAATCAAAACCGAGCAGAAACCAAAAACCGAACCGAAACCGATCAATTCAGTGCGATTTTGCTCGGTTTTTTTTATGTAAAAACATTTCGGTTTTGGTTCTTTTTTTATATTGCGGTTCAATGCGGTTATTGTTTTCCATACGTTCGGTTTTCGGTTTTATTACCGAATCACACCAAATTAAATAATTATGTATAGAAAAATCGAGAAAAAAACCGAAAATCAAACCTAACCATGCCTTTCAGTGCGGTTCAGTTCGGTTCGGTTATTTTAGTGCAAAAAAATCAGTTCAGTTTCGGTTAAGTTGCGGTGCGGTTTGGTTGTTTTTTTTCCTATGTTCGGTTTTTGGTTTTTTGTGGTTCATTGCAGTTTTTCACTGAACCGCACCATTGCTCACCCCTAGTCTCGGGTTTCGAGTCCTTGTGTATGAGAAAACCCTTGTTGTGATACTCACTCACTATTGTCATGTGTGCAACCTGGGTCGATCAACGGATTAGTTGGGACATAACTCCGAATATTGTGGTCGGCTACCAAAATAATAATAATAATAATAATAATAATAATAATAATAATAATAATAATAATAATAATTGATGACTATAGAGTATAGATTGCCGGGAGGAATATGGTCTACGGGGACACAGATTTCCTTGAACTTGGACTTGAAAGCAACCAAGATAATTTAAGATAAGGACAATCGCATTATCGCTTATCTGTCCAATTATTTTATATTAGTTTAACAGCTAAACGGGATCTTCTAAAATGGACGTGCCTAACTAGTGGAATAATTATGCATCAGATGAATAATATCGTAATAATATTTTACTAGTACAATACGCGTGTATTGCACGGGTGTTGAGTTAAGAAATATATAATAAATATTATTGTTAAAATAATTTTTGTATTTAAAAGTTTTGATGGACTAATTGATGAAAAAAAAAAGAGGAATAGACCGTGCAAGTAGTAATTTGTAAATTGTAATTTAGAAGATAAATATGAAATAAAATTATAATATAGTACGACTGCTACTTGCTGAAACTAAGAAAGAAACGTGCTAAGAAAAAAAATAACAAAATTAAATATACACCTACCAAATTAGATTTTTTTTTTTTTTTATGTCTAATACCAAGCCTAAATGCAGATAAAAAAATGAATATATAATCAACCTTACGAAGCATAGATTTTTGCCACGTCAACATCCAAAATGTGGAATCTGTCACTTAGGCTCATCATGTTTTGATTAATATAGGGGGAATGATGTTCGATTAATTGTGTATAACTGGAAGCACATTTTAAATACATTTTAGTTATGATTGATCATCTATATCTATATAAAAGGACAAGTTGTTTTGTAAAAAAATTGAACTGCTTAAAAATTGTTTACTTCTACATATCTTTAATGACACATTAGTACACTATTATTCATCTTATCTTATATGTTTAATTAAAAAATGAATAACTTAAAAAATTCTTACTTTGACTTATTTTTAATGTCAAATTGGTAATACACTAATATCCATCATATCTTGTATTTTTAATTAACAACTAATAATTAATTAATTAAAAATAAAAATGCACGAACAAAATATTTCATATCTCCTAAAAATCCACCACAATATTCTCATACCAGTGTTCCTCACATTTTTTTTCCCAAAACGATAGGGAAGCGCACAAATGTGCGGTACAAAAAAAAAAAAAAAA